TAACAATTGTAAACAATGTTTTTGTTTGAATTTGGGTTTGACCAATTGTAAAAAAAAAAAAAAAACTAATTAACACATGTGTGTCCGTCAACCTTAAATAATAATCTTTGTCAATTTTATTTTTCAGTCTTTATGATGGTCGATACTTGATCTATCTCTTACTGTTACATCCCGAACAACATGGGGCTCTACTGCTAGTATATATATATATATATATATATATATAATATATATATGAAACAGTGAAACGGACTAAGTAAAACAATTTTAATATATTTTTTGTTTTATACATTATTTTTATAGATGCAAATATTTAAGTAAATGCTCTGTTTAGCAAAATTTACCAGCCTGAATGTCCGAGAATTCTCAAAGAAAATGTGTCCCCAGACAGAAGTCAAACCTGTATCCTACATGAACTGCCATATAGCCTGACATGCTATGCCATTTAGCTACAGAGGAAACTTGTTAACCAGATGCTTCATTGCATCTCGTTATTAAAACTTTCTAACAATTGCTGTCATTTTTGATGGCATAGATACACTAGTAAATGTTTAAAAGTTGAGGTAGGGAATATTTTTGATAAATTATTTCTTCATTACTACATTTGGACTAATGTCCTCCTCTTTATCACAATGGTTTGGCTGTTATACCCTCCAGCAAGTGTCTATCAATCCAAATAATTTCTATTAAATTTCAAATTGAGTACATTATTTTACCTATGAGGATAAAATTTTCTCCTGGTATCCATATCTAGAGAATTTTTTTTTTTTTTTTTTAATACATAATTCCTGTTTTGCAGGATTCTGTTGAGTACTACCATGCCCAGGGGTTGAACTCACAAATCCACACACATTAATGCATTAAGTTATTGTCTCATGAAAAAGGCTGAAAAGCACAATACACAAAACATGATAACAAAAATGAGGACATTAGTCTAATTGTAAATAATGATTCCTTATCCCATAAAATTTGACACAACATTTCTCCATTGTTTTTTAATTTATTTAAATAAATTGATAATTGCATGTTCAACAAATTTATTTCAAGACTCAAAGTATTATATGACTATGGCTTGAATGTGCTAATGTCTAATATTATGCAAATCTGCATTGTTAGTGGTATTTGAAAAGATTTGAAAATGATTGTAGTTTATATAGTGGAAAGTTCAAATCTGTCATGTGTCTAACAAATAGGACATGTTATGTATAAACATATAAAAATAAAGTACCATAATACAAAGTCTATTGGGTAGTATTCATTTCCATTTTTGAACAATTATAGGATTCTTTCATTGGAGATTTGTTTCTGTAACAATTGTAGGCTTTTTATAGGTTAGTGGACCAGGATGCTGGCTTGATTATCTAGTATCTCTATTAACTGGTTTGGAGCCAGTTATGGCTATTGCCAAACTTTTTTTTTCTATCAGTTATATTCTCTTAGGCTGCCTTAGAGAGTTAAAGTACTCCAACAGCGTTGCCTCTGTATCCATAACTAGGTCTAGAAGTTGGTTAATGCCTTTTCAAGAGCATTAAAATGAAGTGAATGTAAGCAGTCTTGGTTTCTTCTTTATGCCATGTCCCTTCAGGACATAGCTCTCTACAATTTCCTGTCTTTTGTAGGTCTTAGTAAATTTTGTCTTTTCACTCTCACTCCTAATTCTTGTTCTACCACCCATTTACACCATCTTGTTAGATAGGTTATGTGCTTCTTTCCTCTTGCCTTCAGTATGTCCTGTGAGTGCCAAATTTTCCATGTCCTCTTTCCTCATTATGTGCCCTAAAAATTTCCACTCTTTCTGATGCTACGTATAAATATCATTTTTGTTTCCATTTTCTTTAAAACGTCGTCATTGCTCATGTTCAGTCCATGGCATTTTCAGCATCCTTCTGTAGAATCACATTTTTGTTGCCTAAAGTCTCTTCATTTGCAATGAGGTTGTCCAGCATTCGATACCATATAGGATTGCAAATATAACATAACAGTCCAGTACTATTTTTTTTGCTTCCAATGAAATTTTCCTGTTTCTTAATATATTGCTTAACTTTTGGAAGGCATCTTTTGCTATCCCAATGAGCCTTTTGGATTTTGGAGTTTCATTTTCCATTCTCTAAAAAAAAAATAAAACACTTCCTATAGATTTAAATTTTTGCACTTGTTTAATTTTGGTATCTCCAATGTGTAATTCACATATTAGGTTGTTTCTTTTACTGACAAGCATACATTCTCTTCTTGCAGTTGATATTTAGTCCTTCTTGCTTTCATTTACTAAATTCTGTAGGAGTTCCTGTAGTTTCCTTTATGCATCTTGGTTTACCAATTTCATTTTTCCTCTTTCAAAGACTGCTACACTGCTCTACACTTTCACCTAGATATTCCACTGTTATATTTGGTCTCATGCTTGGTGAATATCTATTATTATATCAATATTATAGATCTTTAATGATGGAAATAGAATAACTGAAAAAGCTGTGAAAATTATAGATGCTTGAAAACTCATTTTGAAGTACTTATGCAATGGTTGGGTTGGAAAAGTAAAATGTATTATTCCCATTTATAATATGCAAACATAAACACATAGTAAAACATATATTGTTTATATTCAGACTATTGTCCTCATCTTTGTTGCTATTATCACAGTTACCTTTACCTAAATTCAATAATCAATGAATAAATACTGAGTTTTTATTAAATTTCATAAACTGAATTTCAGGAGATTTTTTTTCAAATATGAATGTGTAGGTAAATTCTCCAAGGAGTTCTGCTTTTGACTAATATAAATATTAAGATTTACAAATTTAATTTTTCAATTTCATAAAATTAAATAAATATATATATAATAGATGTTTTATATATATATATATATATATATATATATATATATATATGGCTTGAAGTGTAAAAATTGATAAGTTACCATACAATGTTGATTTCTATGTCCACAGTAATATATTGTACAATTGAAAAATGCATAAATACTTGAGTAACCTCTTTAAATAAGGTTTCACTGGCCAGGAGAAGGTGAAAAAAATCTTGGACATGTGTAATGCATTGATGCATTATTTTGATGGTTGCCTCTTCAGACAAATGTGAAATACAGCTTTAATTAGTAATTTCTGATAAGTGATAATACAGTATATTCTGTAATTGGCCATTTACTTGACATGACTGGGACTGCAGATGACTTATATGGTTGCATTTTAAATTTTAGTAAGGAAAAATTAGTCATGAAATTTGAAAATAATAAGTTTCCTGAAATATGCATTTATTTTTATGACATTACATTGTATATTTAAGTATGCATGTGTAAAAACTGTGCTTGATTTGTTTTGGTAACTTTTTGAATGATAGGCCTTATATGTTAAGCCTTGAGGAAAGCAAAAGTAAAAGGATTATCGACATCTTATTAAAGATTAAGGTCCTGTTCAGAACTGTTTTTTGGTTTAAGGCTTCAGCTCCTATACCATGACACTAGTTTCACTTGTTATATCTTGGCTGGATGATTTACACTCCCCAATGTGTGAATTTTGTTTGCCTGTCAAATTGAACTCACCTGGTGGTATAATAGGGTAGCCACCCTATTACAACAGCTACTGGCTACCTGAAGATTGTGTGCAAACACATGAAATGTATAGTAGTGGCCAGTCACTGCCTACATGGTTTTTGAATTAATATTGAAGCTCTGCCATTCTTATGGCATTGAGTACTTTTATGCTAGTAGGCTACTTTTGGGTAGACTCATTCTTTCCTGGATTGTCTGTCTGTCTCTCTCTCATATATATATATATATATATATATATATGTCACTTTTTCCTAAATTTAGTAATCAAGGAATAAATATGGAGTTTTTATTAAACTTCATAAATTATTTGAATTTCAATTGGCTTTTTGAATGCGTATTTGGTATTAAAAAAAAAATTATAGGAACAAACAAATCTAATGAAAATTGGTTAAATGTATGACTGAATGATTTTTTTTCTTTGTCAAGGAGTATTGATTTTGTGAAAAGTCTAGTGATTCCTACAAATTTGCTAAGAACAAATTACTAAAGCCTGCCAGATTCAAAACTAGCAAGTTTAAAAATTAGCCGGTTTCCTTGAAATAGATAGTATGACACTAACTGTATTAATGTCCCTTTTTAGTATTATTTAGTACTTTAGTCTTATTTTCTGTATGCTACAATGTAATTTTATAAGACTTTAGACATTTTTCTGTATAGCAGAGGTTAAATGTATTCTAAATTTCATAGTTTTTTTTTTTACTTTTTAGCATGGCATAAGACAATGGGGTGCTATAAGACAATGGTCTATCTTGTGTTGATCTTCTTTAAAAGATGGCATTTGGGATTTAACATATATTTGGGTTCTAACCTTGACCAGTGGAATTGTTGCTAAATACATTACATATCCTTAAATAGACCCAATAATTTTATATTTAGTCATGTTCCTATAATGTAATCTGTAGCATTATACTGCTCTAGAATACACCAATTGAATTCCACTGCAGAGGGTTCCATCAGTTCATCACTGCCAAAGGGGGAGCAATCTATCAAGCATTAGCTGGGGCCAATATTTGTCAGCAGAGTTGGATATGAGTTGGGACAATCTTTGCCTAGAGATTTGGGTGTAATAAAACAAAAAAAAAATGATTTCAACATTTAATAGCATAATACATTTTCATGTTATAAGATTCACCAACCTACCTGGTTGCACATTTTTATTTAATATAAAAGCAATAATATGCTTAAAATATTACTTGTTTTCTTTCATTTTGAGTGCTACAATTGAACAATAAAGTCAATTTTTAAAAGTTTCTGTTTTTGTCCAAGCTAACATTACAGCTGTATGCCTACAATCAAGGAATCTTTTCTTATTTAAATTATTTAAAACTAAATCCTCTAATTGTCATTTTATGATAAAAGCAGAATTAACTTTTTAGCATCCCAATGAAAACATTACAGAAACATGTCTTTAAATCTATCATTTTTTTTCTTTTTTCTTCAGAGTTCATCGAACAGTCGATTCACTACTTAGTGCAACAAGTGGGTTTACAAACTACCGAGGACTTTTGAATCTCTGTGTCTTACTCTTGGTAAGCTTTCCATTTTGTCTTTGTAAATGTGCATGTCTATAGCTATGTTTTTATTTGGGCATTATATATATATATATATACGCATACTTTTTATGCAATCAATGGATTCTTTAATCTGTGCCTCCTTTTTACTATATAAAGTTTTTTAGATTATAGAATGTTTGGTTAAAAACTTTAATGGTAAAAGTTTGCTGACTTTTATTCATATAACTGAATGCTAAAAATATATTTTGTTTAAATATTTCTTTTAGTATTTTTTTTTTCTTTTTATTAAATTTTGTTCATTATCTCGAATACAGGTTATCCTAAATGTTATAAAGTAGTTTTTGCTTTAATCATTTCACACTAAGGTGCAATGGGTTACTGAGTGAGAGAATATGAGAAAAAAACATTAAGGAGAAAACAATAAAAGAACAGGAATTAAGAAGACAGAAGATAATGATTAACATTGGATTTAAATTTTTGAAAATCAAATTTAACTGGAAAGCAAGAAACTGGAAGAGTTTAACAAATGAAAAGTGTGAGAGAAGAAACTATTATCATAGGACTTACTTACATCTAGCTATTTCAACTGCAAAATGAGGCTTTGCTGTTAATTGAGTACTGCACTTATATTATGTTTCTTCTATGTACCCTAGAGGAAACATAACAATTACCATGAACATATTTATACAAAAGGTACAGGGAAGTTACATTATGGCGATAGGAAAGTGACTGAAGCTGAAATGCCAGTTCAGGACCAATAACATTGGAGAAGCACCAGAACAGATGTAGCAACAATAATCAATGCATGGACAAATGGTAGACTTTTAAATGTATAAGATAGATTCTGTTTAGCATGACACAGTGAGCCAACTTTCCTAATTAAGTCAATATAATCTTTCCACTTCATGTCAGCCCGAGAAGGTGCATTGAGTAATCTTCTGCTGATGGAAGGCAAATAGGGTTCTATTGGATAACTAAAAGAGCAATTTTGTTTTGGAGGTGTTAAAATTGCCCCTGTTAACAGATTGTAGGTCATTTTTGAGAACAACTGCCAATTTAACCATATTGAAGAGATTACTTACTATTAAGACAGGAGTAAATAATTGTCATCAATATAGATACTGAGTTGAGAAATGAAGACATCAGGAAGAGTGTTGATGAAAATTAGGAACAATGTAGGTCCAAGGATAGTCCTTGGGGGACATCTGCATTAATGCAAAAAGATCTAGAAGAGTGGCCATTCATGATAACTTTCATTTTGCGATTTGATAAGAAAGATTGAATCTGTTCAAAAAAATCATCCAGAAATACCATAACTTTTGAACTTCTGTCATTAAAAAATATATATATATATATATATGAAAGAGAGAGAGAGACTATTTATTATAATCAGTATTAGCTTATGGTTGAAGTTCATATTGTCTGTGTATGCACCATGATTAATAGCACAATATTCTTGGATAATTTATTTTTTCCTTGTATTTTTAATAACTACAGCAATCACAACAATATTACTATGTTCTTAATGGTTAAAAATATAATGCTTGTTAACAAAGATTTAAAAAAAAAAATGTAACTACAGTGATTGCTTATTGAAGGAATGTACCATTGATTAAACTAGGATTGGTGGATTTCTATTAGATAAAATAGTACTTATATATTGTGAAGAGAAATCTAACTCATTTCCTTTCAGGAGATTAAGTTTATAAGTTGACACTTATTTTCTTTGTTTTATTTCTTTTTGCTTTTACTTTAAGCATATTCTTTGTAGTGAATTTATCTTTGTTTGTATTGTTTGTTACTGGTCAGCTCTAAATCTCTATCTATTGTTGACACTTCAATATTTTCACTGTGCTGACCCAAGCCTTGTGAGTGAAATTGGGTAGACAGAACCTTTGTAGGCTGTTGATAGCTGTGCTAGCATGAAGTCACAAGTTGTCATGACCAAGGGTTTGAGTGTGCTGGCCTTGTTCAGATTGTTGATCACACTAGATAACATGGTCTCTCCCAGAAACTGTAACTAAGGTCTGCTCAGCATAGTTGCAGTATAAACCACAGGTTGGCTCTGCAGGTGTTGAACACAAATGTGCCTGAGCGAGTGTCTGCAATAGGGATTAGCTAGCCTTCCTAATAGATGGGTATTCTTGAATACGAGTGGCCAGCTATTACGCGCACACACACACACACATGTTCCACAAGAGTAAAAAGGTTGCAAAATGCTGATGTAGGTAGTAGTCAGGTAAGAGAATAATATAGGATATTATTTTTTTTATTTTTTTTATTTTTGAGAAAATATAAGAAACAACTTTTGTTTTAGGTTCAACACAATCTGCTTAAACATCTCTGCAAGTAGAAAAAATTTTTAATTAATATTGATTTTAAATTGCCTGAAAGGCTGTGAAATCCTAGAAGTGATGGCATTATATGATTACTAGTTTACTTTTGAATGGATCGTATTAATGGATGTGCAGCTATTGTATTGGCTAACAATGCAGAATGAGAAATCGGAGAGCCAAGTTCATTATATTCACTTTTGCACAAATATCTTTTGGAAATATGACTCCATTTCTCCCCCATCTATGGGTTAAGTAGCAGGGCTGACTGGGTTCTCTTGCCATGCAGTGGCAACCAATCTAGAAAGAAAATTCTGAATTCAAATCTAGTCTGAAGTGGAATAGGTTCTTGTCAAGCTATTAATATCTTGCCCTAGACATGCCACGGTTGCCATGGCTGCAATACATGTGGTTATCTCTACAACCTTAATACGTGACACACACACACACAGTTTAATTCTGAACAAGCGGGCTAAGATTATTGTTTACTTTAATAAACGAATGAATAGATAGAAATAACAACCATTTCATGAATGCGGATTCCTGAATGCAAACAATGAATGTCCTATTTTGTTACAAACTCTGAAAATAAACAGGATGAATTGTCAAGCCTATGTTTTCCTGATGCTTGGAAAATGACATTGAATGTATAAGGTGCAGATACCAATTATCTGGATTTAAATTCTATTCAGAATGAAAGAATAGTACTATGCCAATTTGCTATTATCTTATTAAGTGTTTTTATGTAAAATTAATTGGGTCAGAAAATGATAAAAAAAATTATTAATTCTTTCTTTCTTTCATCATTATTATTTTTTAAATTTATTTTTTTAGTGTAAAAAAAAAATACCTGTTATATTTCTGTACATTCTAAAAATGGTGTTGGAGGTAGGAATATTAACAAATAAATTACTCAAAGTCTAATATTTTTTTTCTCTCAGTACATTCAACATTTTTTTATTAAATTTTAAAACTATATTATTGTAGGAAAGGATAAAAGAGTGAACACTGCCTAACAGATAAGAACTAATGAAAATTTCTTTCTTGTTTGAATAAAGAGAAATTCAGGTTTAGGTTGAATATTTATAAAGTAAATTAAGAAAACCTTTAATAGCAGTGTCTAGTCAAAATGGATTTTTTTTTTACTAATCTTTATAATTTAAAGATGGCTGCCACCTTTGCCAAGACAGATGATTATTGCTCACCATACATTTACATACATACCTACATATAATCACACACTTCATTTGTGTACATCTTTTTTTTTTTTTTGTTACCCATATCTTCTTTTTAGTAGTATTAAATATCTTCTATAATCAACTTTTTAGTATTTTATTGCATTAAATCTGTACTTAACACAGTAGCTCATTAAATGGTGAAAGGGGATTGCCAAATATAACCTGTGCGTGCGTGCCAGATATATATAATATATATATAATTTTTTTTCTTCTACAGGCACACCTTTGTGTGTGTGTCTAAGAAAGATTTTGATCCTAAATTCTTTACTCATAACTTTTTAATAATCAAGATGTAGGCTCATTTGAATTTTTTTAGTACAATATAAGCTAAGTTTTAAATTTGATTTCAATCTCTTAAACTGTTAAAAGGCACACATTTACCAAAAAATTCCAATAAACCTCCATATAAAAATTTTATTATGTAATAGTCCTGTTAGAACACTTAATTAGAAAATTATACTAGTTTATCTATTATTGGAAGTGTCATATTGAAATATCCTAAAATATGATTTTATACTGTATCTGACTTGGCTTCAACTTTTCATCATTTTAAATAAAAAAAAAAAAATATTTAACAAGTGTGTGTTTGGGTGGGTTTATGATTCATTAAAATGTTTTAAAGTCCAGAACCAATTATGTCAGTAAATTTGTAAATCTTAGTTTAAAATTTTTTTTTTTTTTAATTGTTTTCAAATTCATAGTATGATTATTAGTGATAAAATTTTAACATCTACAAAAAATTGCCTAAAATTTTTCAGCCCGAACAACTTACCAAAATCTGTATTCTAAAGATCAAACATCGGAATATTAACATTAACAGCTGTTTACAAAAAAAGATATCTGTTAGATTTATATAAGAAATTTTCTATATATAATAAGCATTTTATTTTATTTTATTTACTTATTTTGTAAAAATATTTAGTTCTGTATTTAAATGTAAGTTTTCTATTTGTTCATAGGAATTATGTAAATTTGGTAAAGCATCAAAAATGGAAAATATTTATGAATCAAAATTATAATAGAGATAGAAAACTTTCAATCCTAACTAGAAGCTCTTAAAATATCCTTAAAAGAAATTAATTGCATATCAAGTTTCAATACCCCACCCCCAGTTTACCATTTTAAGGGTTACATGACTACCAAGTTATTAATGTGACTTCCTATTTATAAATGTATACTGGCTTTTATGTAGCATAAATTTTGTTTTGTAAGAAAAACTCATGAAAAACATTCTCTTTCAATTAAACTAGCAATTCATATAATACATTTATCATGAAGGTATATACAAATATTGCTATACTGCAAACTAATATAAAATACTGTTTTAATAAGAAAGTTTTTTAGCATATTCTGTATAAATGTGCACTAATCAAAATATGTAATTGTTCTCCAGAGAACATATCTACTTGACTTTGTTTTTTTTTGTTCTTTTACTAAGTGAATCACTTGACTTATTTTGTGACCCAAAGTAAAGAGAACCATTTACATTCATACTAAAACTGACCATGATAAGCACTTACAGTAAAAAAGAAAGCATTTAAAATACGCTTTATTCTGGAATAAAGGGTAGGTTAGAAAATTATTTCAAAATTAATTTGTTTCTGTTACAAAAATGGAGGCAGAAGAGGTTGGAATAAAAGTACAAGTTAGAAAAAGTGAAAAATAAAATATACTGGGTGCCTGGAATAACAATAGGCTGAGAAAATTCAAAATTTAAATAGTTGAGTATGCACGTGTACATCTGTTTGGTATATAAGAAGGATGTATTGAGGTTGTAACACTAAAGTACCCTGCTCATTTGAATGCAGTAATGCTTAAAGACAGGTACATATTCTTACTGCTACACACACACACACACACACACACACACACACACACACACACACACAAAATTTAAGTAATTGAATGACCTACCAAAATTGTGACACCAAATTGAAGAAGGTACCATATTAAGGGTGCACATTAACAGCTCTGTCAGTCGTTCCATCCTTCCTTCCTTCCTTTCTTCCTTCTCTGTATCCAAAGTTTAAATTTCTTGCTACTTTCTGAGGTGATCATCATCCAGTATCCACCATTGTGCTCTAGACCCAGCTAGAAATTGTTGTCACCTCCCTGTTGCTTTCAGCAATGAATTCCTCTATACTGAGGACAGGCAGACCATTCCGGATATCTTTGTTCTCACAGCAGGCAGCTACAAATAGACATTGGTCAGGTTCAATTGGTTTTAATTATAGGCACTGGATTCTCAACTGGCTGCTTTTTTTATACTCTAGTAAGTATTAAATGTAGCAAGCTTAATTTATTTATTTTTTTAACATGTTTTATGTGTAAAATATTCATGACTTTGAAAAACAGATTTCTCTGGACTGTAGATACCTTTTTGTCCACAGTATAATGTTTTTAATTTGGTAAAATTTTAATTATTTTTATTGGAGTGTATTTTTAATTACTGTAAATGTTATATATTTGTGGGTAGACAGAATAGTTTTTTGTTTGTTTTTGTTTTTTTTTAAGAACTGAAATTTATGTCTACCAGCCTTGAGATTGAAAGTCTTATTAAAGAAACTTTCTCTTGACAAGAAACAAACTTTTATAACCTGGAAAATCACTTTGAAAATCACTTTGAAAATCAAGTGTGCTTTACCATTAAAACATGAGAAGCCAGCAAAGCAAAGTTCAGATAAGATATGTGTATTTCTTAAATATGGTAATTAAACTTTGCTTTGCTATGATGGATACTTGTGGTTCAATGGTAAAGCACACTTGGCTTGAAAGTGGTTTTCGTGATGAAAAAAGGAATGAAGGTTCAATTTCTATTTGGAATCACTTGTATGCATGTGTTATATATATATATATATATATATATATACACACACAGTAAGATTTTCAGTCTCTAGGCTGCTAGACATTAATTTCACTGCTTAACAAAAGATGTCTACTACTCACTAAATTAAAAAGCTTATAGTAATAAAAAATAGTGTTGAATTAAGAGTCCATTAATTGCTTACTGTGTGTGTCTATGTTAAAAGATGGAAATTCTATACCAGGTTACATCTAATTGGTTGGAATAATTTTCTCATGTTTTTGAATATTGAACATATACTTTTGCAAGGTTTCTTTCTCTCACTGGTCTTTTTACATATTCTCTTGCATTAGAATGTAACTCATCACTAAAAATTACTTTTTGACACTTTCCACTCCAGCATTCCATGTTAGATGTTCTTTTGATTATTTCAATGTTTTTTGGCTAATAATGGTTTTTTGTTGTTATATGCTAATTCAAGTTTTTTTGTAATACTCTGTGTATTGTATCAACTGAAACCTCCAATGTTAAGACTGCATTCACTCCTCACTTATCTGGCTGTTGATTTTGAATTGGCTACAGAGACTTTCTTTCATCTCTCTTGTTTAACCTTTTTGATCTTCTGGTTTTATTTGCACTTTAAACACTTTGTAGTAGCAAAAGTCTTTTGGATTGTTTCTATGCTTTTGTTGGAAATTCCCAACTGCCTGGCTGATTGAGTGATCTTCCCCTTTCCAAGTCACAACATTCATCTTTTGTTTTAACAGAAATGATTTTAGTGTTAAAAGAAAAAAGATGTTCAACTATGACTTGTCAAGATACCTAACACTAATGTTAATAAGATGGAACAATTCTTAGAAATTTGCATATTATCATTACTTTATCATTTCAGCTATCATTGGCCAAATAATTTTGCATGGCCTTTTTTCACTTTCAACTTGCTTAAAGTTGTGTATTCTGTTACATGCCACCTATGAAAATGCAACAACTTATTTTTCAATCCTCAAAGTCCGCATAGTTTAGCAGTATGCTTTTATCAGTAATCTATCTTAATAAAATAAAGGTGTATAATCATTTTATGTAGTTGGCCCAAAACTTTTGCACACCAGTGAATGTGATATTGAACTCTTTGCTAATAGACTTCATGATAATCACTTGAAAGTAAAAATTGGCCATTGACTCATTTTGCCTTTCAATTTTTAAGTTTAGAATGTATCTGAAAGTTATGATTTACATGCAAGAAATAATGTTTGTTTAATGTTATTTGATTTGTAAATGACCTTTCAGACAGGTATCTGCCAATTTGAGCTTTTTGGGTTTTGATTAAACAACAAAGATAAAAATGATCATTTAAAAAATAGTTTTAATTTTTTTTTTCATTTTGACAGTACAATTAAATCTTTTTTTTGATATTGCCAGCACTATTTTTTAGCCAGTCCATTCTATGGTCTTCCTGAGATGTATCGTTTGTATGGGAAAGTTAGTTTCTTTTTCTGGCTGTATAAACCAAAAAATATTAGCAAGTTTCTTTAAAACTATTTAAGCAGCAATGGTTATATTGGTTATATAACTTTCCAAATTTCGCATGCAACTTGTTCCAATATTTTACATGGAAAGTTTTTCTCATCTTCGTTAAATTTCCCAATATCTTTGGGTGAAGATTTTTTCTTTTCAAAGTTATAGGAAGAATATTGTCACTGATGTGCTATACTATTTAGCTATAGAGGAAGCGTCTGGTTAGTAAAGCCAGATTTCTGTTTTTAAACAACAAATTTCCCATAGCTAAATGGCATAGCACGTTAGGCTATATGACAGTTCTGTTTAGGATACAGGTTCAATTCTTGTCAAAATAAAATTTCTTGGACATTCAGGCTGATAAATGTAGTTAATACTGTTTATTATAAACATTTACTTAAATATTGTATCTGTAAAAATAACGTATAAACAGAAAATATATTAAAATAATTGTCACACTTAGTCTCTCTCTCTCTCTCTCTCTATATATATATATATATATATATATATATATATATATATAATTTTCATATGACAGGAAATAGACTATATGCAGGAAAGACTCCTTTTACTATATTTTTACTTGGACTGGCTACTTGATATGTTGTCTTTTACTTATACATGGCACATAAACGTAGGATTAAACAAAAGACTTTGTAAATACTTAACATTATGGTTTGGCTCCATTCTAAAATGTTAATTGAAGAGTATAACATTTCTAATAACTTAATTATAAATGCTTAAAAGCTGAAACTTTGCAGATTAATAATTTGAAATATATTTTAAATTTGATCTTTCTCGGTAAATTGAGTTAATTAAATTTATTTTTTTTAAGTTGGTATCCACTCAATAGGGATATTGTATATTAATAATTTTCAATAAAAAGGTTTTATTTTGTCTGAAATTGATTAATTAATAGAATATGAAATAATAATGTGTTTGATATAATTTGAATCTCTCTAATTTGTTTATTTTATTAAATCTTAAATTTATATAAGTTTTTAAAGTTTTTTTCACAAACACTACAATTTTAACGAAAGATATTAAAAAATAAAACTGTATTTTATTCAATTCCTTTGTTTTTACTCTGTTTCAGGGTATATCTAACACAAGACTTGTTTTGGAGAACCTTATTAAGTAAGTATGTTAAATTATGTGTGCACTAGAAAATTAAGTATCTTTTAAGGATCAGTTAATTTTTTGCAGTGACAGAATTGTTAGTTTCTGTTAATAATTTTTTAAATAATTTAAAAAAAATTTTTTTTCTTTTATGTCCCACTTTGTAACATAATAACCCAATCAGTAGATGTTGAAAGACAAGTTGCCAACAGAAAAATCAGTGAACCTTGTTATATGGAGTGAAGGTGGGAGGACAAAGACCTCAGGACTTTGGAATGTGGATGGCTATCTAAGTTTGTCATGTGTTATTGAAAGTTGTCACTCAGAAAGGATGGTGCAGTGATTATAGTTAATACAAAATAACTGAATATGATGTGAACTTAAACTAGTGAAGGTGAAATAGAGATAAAAAGGCTATGGAAGTGACAAATGATAAACTAATCGATAGTTTTAAAAAATAAAATGTTATTTTACTGAAACTGTTTATGAAATATAAATTCACAGAGCATGTAAAGATTCATGTTGCAAATATATTCCAGTTTAGCTGATTTTGATACATGTCTGAAGTAGTGATATATCCAGTATGGATTAAATTCACAAACAATAACTTATAAGACTAACCTCCTTAATCTCATTCTGTCGTAGGCTCCCTTTATTAGTTGTATAACTAGAAAGATTGTCTGTAGATTACGAACCTCTGATCAGATGTATAGCAATGAGTGATTAATCCTTTTTTAATTAAGTAACTAGCATATTTTGTGAAATAATTGTTTTTTATATAATTACTCACTTTTTTTTCTCATGGAAAATTTATAACAATAAGCTTTTTCTTGTACAATTTATCCACAAAGTTGTTTATGGTGGTAGTGATCTTGAGATGCCCCTTGTTAATGGTTGTAAATAGAATTTAACATTTCATCTTTTTCTGTAAAGGTTACCATAACCTTTTCAGGTTTTTGAATTTCTTTTTCTTTATATTGCTGTTTGTTACAGTTATGGAATCCTGATTGATCCTGTGGCTTATTTGCAAATGTTCATTCAAAATCCTCACAGTTGGCCTAACCTGTGCCTCCTTATGGGTAAGTATCATTGCTGAATTCATACAGGTTGCGTTGGATAAATTGTTGTCTAAATTATGCAAAAATGAAAATAATACTGACATCTCATTTTAACAGATATATTTACCAAAATTACACAAAATTATCTTGAAATATAAAAGAGTAAGTTTATTCAATAAAATTGCCATTGGCTTCAACCATGGCTTTCAGATAACTTTGGAATCTCCTGTAACTCTTCTGGACAGTCTCCTTGTTTAAGTTGGTGAATGCTACCATAATCCTTGCCTTCAGTTCATCTTTGGTGTTACAAGGAGTTTTGTTGGTCTCTCACCCAAATGTGTCCCACACATAATAATCAAGGGGGCTGCAGTCTGGGGAGTTAGGTGGCCAGATGTAATGGGTGATGTGGTTGCAGAAATTGTCTGACAGCCATGATTACATTTTCCTGCTTGTGTAGCATGGTGCAGAGTCCTGTTGCCAGACATATTGTCTTGCAGCAGCCATCCTCTTGACCCAAAGTTGCACTGCCTCCTCAAGGCACTTGATATAGGCCTCCATGTTGTCTGAATCCCTGTGGGAAGATGAATGGAGGCATAATGTTGCCTTCACTGGTGATCACTCCAAACACCTTTATAATCATCATTAGACTCCTCCAACTCTTTCCGAATCCTCTGCACTGTCCTCAGATTGACACCCAAACACTCTGAAATGTTTGTATTGGATCTTCCAATGCAAATGCCAAGCAGTACAGCATTCTGTTTCCAAATTTCTGGCAGAGTGAATTGCATCATGGTGCTGTTTATCTCATAGATGGTGCCCAACTAACCCTACTGTACTGTGCAGTCAACAAAATCAAAAACAAACATGCATGCATGAAATTAAAAATATAATATAGCGACAATTTACCCATCGCGCACAGTAGATAGTTTATTTAGACCTAATATTGCAGGAAAAGTAAGTTTAAGCAAATACTGTAGTTGCTCTGTATTGAATGGAGAGGATTCTTTCTTTGCTTTGAATAAACTTTGTTTACAAACTTGGTATATAACCTATAACAGTGGCCTCCAACCTTTTTGTGTCACAGACCAGTGTCATACAAGGCAATTTTTCCATGGACCTGGAGGTGGGTGTTTGATGATGCCAGAAAGATTGAAGTGTGTGTGTGTGGTGGGGGTGCTCTCTGTCTGTGGTGGCAACTACTCTTCTTTGGCATTGATAGCATGAGTATACCAAGGACAGGTGAATTTTGGACAGATATAAGTAGCATGTGAAAATTGCAAGTCTCCACAGATGATGCAATAACGTTGGTGGCTGGGGATTTCTGATCTATAACATTAAAGAACACAAATGAAATTTATTATTAGCCATGTCAGTAATATTAGTTTCATTTAAAGTCTTCTGAAAAGAAGAACTTTTTTTTTTTTTTTTTTTTTTTTTTTTTTAGATTTATTAGTAATATTTATGAGTTTTAAGCATAAGCATAAATTACCTTTCTATAACAGCAAAGATAAGAACAATAATCCACATGTAAAATTGTGATAACTCCTTGTCCCATAAATTTGGACAGAAATTACTTTTCTACCTTTCATACATTAAGTATTGGTAAATTTGTGAAATGGTCCAATTACTTTACAGCCTGTTTCATGAGCAAGGCTTATCTCCCTTTATCTCTCCTGCTGTGAGAAAACAATGTAAACTGAATTCAATGCAAATTGCTTTGATACTGACACACCAAACAATATTAGCATTGAAGGTTTAGTAAAAATGACAGATTTTTGTGCCCCAAAATTAGATGTGTACATTTAGATTATTTTTTTATTTTTTATTTATTTTTTTTTATAGAAATGGCCCCCAGCTGGATAATCTGTATAGTTATTTTCCAAGCATAACTTAGATGTGGCACAAAACCAAAAGTGTGGGGTACCCAGTGAGGATCAAACTCACTACTAAGTTGTAATTGTTATAGCAAGACAAGCTTGCTAACCATTACAGCACCTTGAGGTGCCCACTGGATTTTCTGTATATAATAGGTAAAGAAATACTGTAGGTGTGATAACTATAGGAGGCAGACAGAATTTAACACTAGTGGATTGCAGAACAATTAGTGAGGCCAGAAAGATGGGAGGGGATTCTCCTCTCTCACTCTGTCTGTCTGTAGTGGCAACTACTCTGTTTTCTTTGGTATTGATAGCAAGGGTATACCAGGGACAGGTGAATGTTGGACACATACAAGTAGCATGTGAAAATTGCAGGTCTTCAGAGATGATGCAATAATGGCACTGCTGTCAACTAACAAGTATTGTAACTGCCCAACAAAGGGGATCATTAGATCAACTCTCATCCTAATTCAACATTGGTGGCACTCCATGCATTGGATAGCAAACATTGCATTCCATAGATCCTGATACTCTGGAAGACTGGTACCATGTCACTTTGTTAGAATTCATATTTTCAACTCCTCCAAGCAGACTGTTGAATTTATATGTAGAGGAAACTTATGAGAATATGGATCCATTATGTCAGCTGATGGTGGTTTTTATATTGGTATGTAGTGTGTTCTATTGGCATTTGCTACAAACACAAGCAAAATAACTGTCGTTCTGGATATGATGACAAACTACATCCAACAGTAAGGCCTCTGATCAGGAGGTATGAAGAGCATGCAACCACCTCTTAATTGCTGGTGTTCCTAGGTCCACCCTGACTCAGGGTGGTAGCATCTGTTAGGGTCTCAGCTATGGGTAAATAGTTAACCCCAAACTGGGGTCAAAACATATGAAAGTGTAAAAATAGGTTTTAATACCAGAAATACTTTGCAAAAAAATTATTTCCAGCAATACATTTTTGAAAAAAAATATTACTAGCAATAAAAATCTTTTCGGCATTGGATAACCCATTGAGGTTGATATGCCATAAAATGAAATGAACCAAACCAAAAATAACTGTCTTGCATGGTTGAACTTTACAAAGATTCTTAGCTGTGAGATGATAAGAAATCAAACTTTTTATAACCATTTAGTGCAATCAAAATCTTTTAGAGAATAGATGTTCAGGATAAAGTGAACATTAACAGTTTGATTTTGAAAAAGCAAAACCCAGCAAAGTATACATATAATGTATGTGTTTTGGGAAGTACATAGTGGGAGATTCTTAAAAAAAAAAAAAAAAAAAAAAAAAAACAGAATTCAAATGTGGCATGAGAACTGAATATAGTTGCACATTGTACTGTTATGAGTTGATACTATTCATAGTCAGATTGCCATATGGCACGATATCTGGATTCATTGATTTATTCTTTGTGGCTTTTCTTTTTTCCTGGTGTTTGCAAATTTCTTTGGTATCTGTTTTTTTCACTATTGCAATGGCTGTAAAAAAAAAAAACAAAAGAAAAAAAAATACCCACCAAAACAATCACTTTGAAGTTGTTTTGCTTTTAATTAATTAGAACTCCTGAAATTGTTGCAATGCTTTGAAAAACTTTTAAGACTTATATAAAACCAGTGTAAGTGGTATGCTTATTTCAAACATAGTAAAAAGTAAGTTGAAGTTCAATTTTTAATACAGCCAAAATGATGAAAATTTTGAAAAAATTGAAGAACAATAAGTGGAGATAATCATCAGATAGCCGTTAGATCATCATGAGAGATTTGTAACTGGTTTATTTTGACTTAGTACCATTGAATATTGACAGATGATTTGAAAATTAAATGTGTCTCTGCAGAAATTTGTACCTCGATTGCTCACAGGGTATTGTAGAAAAACAATTGTTTAAATGTGCACAATGATTTTTATAATCCTATCCCACTCAGCTTTTTGTGCTAGGGGTCTTATTTCCCAGTTGATTTTTCACCATTGATGTTGTGATTTAGGTTTTTGATCTTAGGTTGAAACATTGTAAGGGATGAAGGAGGCAAGTTATAAGAAAAATAAAAATAGTGACTTTCAGAACATGAGTACTATTACTTGTAGAAATAATAACATAGTTTATTTGTTGAGGGTTGCAGTGTGTTTTGTATATATATATTTTTTTTTTTTTTTTAAACATAAGTGTTTTTTTTTTGTTTTGAACTCTGTTCTTTACAATACTAGTAATGTTTTTTACAAGCTTAAGTATTTTTTTTTTTTTTTTTTTTTAACCTAACAATGACTGGTTGGTGAGTTTTGTAGATGTTGGCATTATTCACAATATATTGCAAAAACAACAATGTCCCAGACTGCTGACTGTTAGGTGACTTGACTATTCAGTCAGGTAATTTTGATTTCAGTCTTGCCAAAACAGCAACTATGATCTGGAATTGCAATGAAAGCAGTGATGGCCTCTATCCTGAATTCATAATGGAGAAAATTTAGTATAGGAGATAAATTGAACATAGAATAGGCTGTGTTAGGGGTAATTTTGCTCAACAGTGCAAATTGCTGCAAAAGCAAAACATTAACTTATAAACTCAAATCATCTTAAATAGCATCATCAAATCAAGAATTTCATATGGATGTCATGCATGGTGCCAAACTGTTGGTTATATATAACTGCTTTCTAAGATCAATGGTTAAAAATGGCTTCAAGTGAATGAAGGTTTATAGTTCTTAGCAAAGACTATTCTTCTTTGAACCTTGTGGACTGGCACTACAGAATCACAAAGAACTGTACCAAATAACAGAAACCATATCGCTTGAGGACTTTCAATAGCAGCAACAACTAAAATGGATATCCTATGTAACTTGGAGAAAATAATAATAATAATAAAGATGTTGACGTTGCACACAATTTCAAACAAAAGGTTAGGAAGGAAGCGCCCATCAATACTGAAAAGCACAATAACAGTGGACTTTAGAAACTCGTTTTTCTGAAATTTGTTTTAATAGAAAGATTTTATAAACTTCAGCTGAAAGTATCCCTGGCTGCTCAGTTAATGAATGCCAAATGTTTCTTGATGATTTTATGTGACCCACAAGCAGTGGCGTAGCTAGAGTAAATGTCACCTGGGGCGGTCCGCTCAAATGTCACCCCAATGACCCTGATT